AAACGCACTGTTAAGACAGCAGGTAAAAGTTGGTCTGTGTTCTGTCGGAGCTGCCTGCGACGTGCTGATGAGATCCAAAAAGATCGAAATCGCGATGCGCGTCTGGCAGTTTCGACAGAATACAGACCACTTCGAATCATTTTATTCTATAATTAACCCATTAATAAATAATCTATCGATTCCTGATAGACTGTGTTACTTATTTGTTTGTTTATTTACAGATGCAAAATTCTGGGCGGGCAGGGGCCCAAAACCTTCGCCTCAAGGTATCAGAATCCCGGATGAGAATGGCAAAGAAACACCCCTTAGGAAATATGATAGGAAAACGGTGGTTTTGACTCTACCAGGAGAGCTAACAGTTTTTGACATAGGCCACTTTGGTATCTGGTGCGAACAATTCACGGTCGATTTTGGACATGTTCAAATCCCTTCGACCCTTAACATTCCACCTTCGTTAAAAATGCTCGGCGTCAGTCCACAGGTAGGTTGTTACACTTTAATTTACTGAAATATAAACTCCCTGTTGCTTATTGAGACAGGCTAACATTTTTACGGTTTTTCAAAGGCTTATAAAATAACATCCCCTTTCATCTGGTACCTACACTGTGGTGGTGCTCTTACTGCTTCCGAAACAAAATTATTAATAAGTGTTGATTAATAAACAAAAGGTGGTCATTGGAAACAAAAGGGGACAATGTAAAATGTTACAGGACGCCTCTGTTTTTAATAAGAATATTGTGAATATTTACAAATACTAAAACAAATGAAACTTAAGTGTGGAAAATGACATAAAAATATTAAAGCTGAAGTCAAAAAGTAACTTGTTATACTAATAAAATCAATTTCTCGCTATTTCTTCGTAACAAATTTTTCCTTATTGTCGGCTGGCTATTGTGAGCATTGGATATTGAGCTTCATCTTTTTATTTCTTTCTTCTTTGTTCTGAATCAATCCAAGTGAGCGGGTTGGAATGCAACAAAATTTATTGTTCCATTACCATTATTCGTTTAAGCTTTTTTCTGCTTTTTCTTCTACTTCTCAAATTTTCTACTCTGCAGACCATTTTCATTTCCTGGTCTTCTTCTTCTTCTTTCATTCCACCTTCCACCCCCACCCCCCACTAGTTTTTCATTTCTGTTGTTGCAGAAACGACCTCGCTTGGATTTAATCGCAAGCGAAGTGTCAAAATCAAGAACCCAACTAGTGGGGGGACAAAACATCAGACCGACAACGTTTCGACCCCCATCACTAGTACTACCCCAGCATCGTAGTGACGTTGCCGAAATCTATAAATCCGCATCTCCCCAACATGGTCTGGTTCATCGCGATATTTTCGGAACGGCAAGACAAAACTCGATCAACAACAACGGAAATCCTCAAGAAGACCAGCAACGGTACCAAGAGCAGTTGTATCAGCAACAGCAACTGCTGATACAACAACAAAGGCTGCAAAATCCACAATTTCAAAATAATAACCAGTTTTATAATCAACAGCAATTTGTCCCACAACAACAGCAACCGCAACAACAACAAATAAACTATTTCCAACAACCGAATCCTCAAGAAATCGCATATAGACAAAGGTTGTTCGAACAACAAAGGTTCGCCCAAGAGCAAGCCAGTTATAATCAACTATTACAAAATAGGAGACTTCAAGAAGAGCAACTTATAAGGGCCATGATCAATAGGCAAAACCGATTCACTATAAATAATAACCCAAATTATAATAACTAAGAAAGAATCAGTTTCTTTTTAAAATAATTACTTATTCGTATCTTTAATACCACGGTTCCTTATCCCCAAAATTCTTTTCGTATTTCGTAGGTTTATCAAATAGATCACAAATTCCAAATATTCAATTCGTAAATTTTCTCATTCTGTAGTTATTTAAACGGGTCTGTTATTTCAAAATTATCATAAAAATTTTTTGTAAATATATAAATATGTCCATTATGTGAAGTTTATTTAATTAATTGATAACTTCTCTGGTCCAACGTGAGTTATAAATATCTAAATAATAACTTACTGGCCGTTAGAAAATGTACACCTGTGTGTTTTTTATCTGTACATTATTATTTAATAAACACCTAATTAACAAGTGTTACGTTATTTCATTAGAATAACAGGCACCTAAAAATGAGAATTATAATTTTAGATGCTTTTGAAATCATTATAATAATTAATTACAGATTTATAAATGAGCACCACCACAGGAGTTCAAATATCGTTGCAAATAATACAAAATGGTGAATTAAATGTCTTCGTGTATTTTTATTTTTGATCTATCTTTATTTTTAAGAGTAAACTTAACTGCGAAATCCTCTTGGACGAAAGAGCATTCGAAGTACGCTGGGCCGTTGCAGGTGAAAGTATCGTTTTACAACTTGTGGCGAAATTGGGTACGTTTCTATGCAATTATTACCAAATAATCGTTCCTTTGTACTAGTAAAACACAGTGAAGTTCGCTGATGATTACGTCGAATTGAAATATCAATCATGT